GACTGGCACTGGAGACCAGGGTCCTCTTCCAGTTCCTCAGTGTGGGTGTTTTGGCTTTTTGGGTCCCCCCCCAACTCTTCACTCTTAGACTTTGAGTTCCATGTGAGAGGAAGTTTCTTGCAAATAGGATCTGGTTGCAGGAAGTTTTAAAAAAAAAACAAAAAAAAAAACGAAGGGGCCAGCAGGTGGCATGGTGGTTAGGGTGCTGGACTCCATATGGCCGACCACGGTTCATGTCCTGGACCCGTCAGCTTGAAAATTCTTGCCAGGCACCTGTGTGTGTGTGCCCCAAATCCCAAGAGGAGTATGGAGAAGAAGGGATTGTACCATGACAGTCCCTCCAAGTGACTTTTCACTTCTCCTCTTACTCTCTCTCTCTGGTGAGTACATGCACGCTGTATCAAAACCCTTAAAAAAAATTTTATTCATTTTTCAAAATTCACACAAGTGATGGATTCATATCGCCTTAAGAAATTGCACATTGGTAATACGTAGAATAAAATAGGGACCAGCAGATGGCATAATGGTTACTTCACTGGATTCCCACATAGTCGACCATGGTTCGAGTCCTGGACCCAGCAGCTTAAAACTCGTCCTGGGTACATGCCCAAAATCCCAAGTAGAGAATGGAGAAGGGATTGCGGCGTGGCCACCCCCTGTGGCCATCACTCAAGGGGGCGATTTTCTGCTTTCTGTCTCTTTCTTCCAGCAAGCGCACACACCCTATAGCAAAAATCTCTTTTAAAAGAAAAAAATAAAAGAAACACATAGAGTAAAATAGAAGAAGCACACACATGCACACGCACACACCCTCGCCACTCACTCCCCATCCCAGAGGTGACTACTGTGAAGTTTCTGCGATTTTCCAGATCCTTCTCTGGGTATTAAATTTTCACATTGGTTAATATTGCTTAGATCTGTTCAAACAAATATATTTTATCACAGCTTTAAAACTTCAAGGAGAACAGCCTGATCCCTTCTGTAGAATAGGGAGCCTTCCTTTTTTGGTCTTTGGCTAGAAAACCAGCTCCAAGATTTCCTGAGTTTCTCCCGCGTGGCTGCAATTCTTCATGAAAGAGTTAATGAGTGGGTTGAACAGCCCAGAATCTGTAACCCAGCCTGCCTTGTATAAATTCGTTGCTGACTCAAAAGCCTGGTGAGAAGTCGTGGCTGGCATGATGTCCGTGTCAAGCCAAGAGGTGGGTTCTCACCACTTCGAGGATCGACTTGACGGCACCATTTCAAACGGATTCGTTTTGACTCCAAAACCCACTGTTTTGAGCCAACCTCCCGCCCTCATCCTCAAGCCGGAGCTGGGTTGCTTAGGTCCCTTGGAGCTGCCGGCTGACCTGGGTGGTCCCTGGCAGGGAGCGCTCTGCATGGTGGGGTGGGGCAGGGCCTGCGTGGGGGGGCCACACCTGCAACCTCAGGCTCCAGTCTGGGCAGCTCGGTCTGTCAGTCGCTTCCCCCGTCCCACCAGGTTTTGGCTGACTCTTGCCGGCGTGGACCTGGGCTCTTGTCAGCTGATGGGTTCTGCTCTGCTATTGCTCTGAGCGCCCCAGTGGGCACCCCGTCAGACACTGTCCTGTGTCCCTCTGGTCTGTCCCCATGTTCTTTTGAGCACTTCTTTAATTTCTGTGAGGACATGGCTCCAGGTTTGTCCTCTCTTCCTGCGCCGGGCCCAGCACCTCCACCATTACTCAGAGGGGCTGCTTCGCCACCGCGGTCCCTGGAGACTGAGATCGGGGTGAGACCAGGGTGCTCGGAGCACCCCTGTCCTCACGCTGCCTCCCCTCTGTGTGTCCCTGCTCCCAGGTCTCTGGGGACACAGCTGGGCCGTGTGCGCACTGATGCCCTCAGGAAGACCCCAGTGCGCAGCCTGGACACCCCCCTTCCCGGGGGAGGGGCAGGCCTAGCCGTGAGGCAGGGACCTATGTTGCAGGAGAGCTGAATTTCTAGAAGGAGCAAGAGGAGACCACAGTTGTTTGAATAGGATTTTATTCTATTTTTTAATTATTTTTCAATTTGCCATAGGGCACATGCACTCACCGAGAGACAGAGACAGGGAAAGTGAGAAAGCAAACCGCCAGATCCGAAACTTGGGCCGTGGCCAGCCATGTGGGAGTCCAGCGCCTTAACCACAGCCCGACCACAGTCAGCGGCAGGGGACCTGTGACAGGGACCGCCAGGGTTTGGCCGCCCCGTGAGCACATACCTTGGCTACCCCCCCCCCCCCGGGTGTC